TTATCACTGTTGTTATTATTTGAGTTTTTTGTCTAATAAAAAATGGACAGTTTTATGCTAAAATATACAGTGCGATTCAGTATCTGTACAAGTGGTTATTTGTTCTTGCATTCTTAGCTAATCTAAGAATATGTGTAGTTGTTTTTTTACGATAAACACCTACACTTTTTTGCGTTCTTATTTCTTTTGACATCGAACCTCAAAATCTTATTTTACTGCAAAAAATTAATTTGTTTATAAATGCATGCACTACGTAATGTAACGATCCCGTTGGTTAGCCGGTATTTATCTATGATCTATCTTCCTGATCACACGTTCAGCAGGTTTTGCAGCGTGAATGTCAAAGGTGTAACCATTAGATTATTTTGATTATCTCCAATAATATTGACTGACGGTATCGCCGTAATTGCTGTTTCATCATTGCCACCGTTAATATCGTCGCTGTTATTTCTATAATTACATCCTGTTATATCTGCTAACATTGGCAAGTATGAGGATTAATAGCACTCGATTCGTCAAAACAAAGGTAGTTATTCTGAACACAAACAGCGACGTAGATATACATACGTAATGGAATAAAAACGTGAATTAACGAATACTACAAGTTCCTCACAAGATACAACAGCACAACTGCAACGACCATCACAACCATCCAGTCACCACAACCACCTAATCACCACAATAACGCCAACCACTATAACCAGCCAACCACCACAACAATTACCCATCCACCATAACCACCCTAATCATCACAATAATCAACCACCCAACTACCTAACCACTCCCACAACTACTAACCACCTCCACAACTTCCTAACCAGCGCAACAACTACCTAACCACCGCCAACAACTACCACCACCCACAACACCGCACCAAACCACAAATACCTAGCCACCTACCACAACCACCCACCCACCTACCACAACCACTACCCACAAATACCTACCACTACCACAACCACCCCCACTACCAACCACCCCAACCACCCACCCCCTACCCCAACCACCCACTCCCCTACCCCAAACCCCACCACCACCCACTCCCCCCCACCACCACACCACCCCACTCCCCTACACCAACCACCCACCCTCACCTACCCCAGACACCCCAACCACCCACCACTCCCCTACCCCAACCAACCACCCTCACCTACCCCCACCCCAACACCCCACCTCACCTACCCCACCACCCCCTCAACCCCACCCACCAACACCACCTACCCCAACCACACCTACTACCACACCACCCACCTACCTCAAACACCCCCACCCACACACCCACCCTACCCAACCACCCATCCAACCCCTCATCTACCCCAACCACTCACCCTCCTCCTCTTCCTCCTCCCGCAGGTTCGTCAACAGCGGCGTTTACTACGGCCTCTCCCTCAACACGGGGAACCTGGGCGGGAACGACTACCTCAACTTCGTGATAAGCGGAGCCGTCGAACTTCCTGCTCACGCCCTCACCATCCTCCTGCTGGACCGCGTGGGGCGTCGCATCCCCCTCTGTGCCTTCCTGTTGCTCGGCGGGGTGTCCCTGCTGAGCACCATGTTTGTTCCTGCAGGTGAGAGGGGTGGGGTGGGTAGCTGGGGGCGTGTTTTTTTTTTTTTTTTTTTTTTTTTTGGGGGGGGGTATGTGTGTGTGTGTTTGTGGTGTGTGTGTGTGTGTGTGTGTGTGTGTGTGTGTGTGTGTGTGTGTGTGTGTGTGTGTGTGTGTGTGTGTGTGTGTGTGTGTGTGTGTGTGTGTGTGTGTGTGTGTGTGTGTGTGTGTGTGTGTGTGTGTGTGTGTGTGTGTGTGTGTGTGGTGTGGTGTGGTGTGTGTGTGTGTGTTTGTTTGTGTGTGTGTAAACTGAGTCTAGTGTCTGAATTAATGCCAAAGTGTTTAGTTGGTAATTAGTTAATTATTGTTTATTTTCTTACTGGGATATACACCTGAATATAATCAATCGATCTATATGTCTCTTCGCATATATACTTGTGCCAATTTTAATATGAATAACGCACACACACACACACACACACACACACACACACACACACACACACACACACACACACACACACACACACACACACACACACCACACCCACACACCCACACCACAATACAAACAAACAAACACCCCGCCCTCTCCCCCCCCAAAAAAAAAAAAAAAAAAAAAAAAACTTCACCCTCGCCATCCCCCCGCCAGGAACCACGTGGCTGCTGATCTGCACGTCCATGTTCGGCAAGTTCTGCATCACCGCCTCCTACGCCATCATCTACGTGCTCACGGCCGAGATCTTCCCGACGGTGGTGCGCAACGTGGGCGTGGGGGCGTCGTCCATGGTGGCGAGGATCGGCGGCGCCCTCGCGCCCTTCGTCAACCTCTTGGTGAGACGACGCTCGGTCTGGTCGGCCTGTTCTCCTTGGTCTTGTTCTCAGTTCTGATCAGTTATTGGTCTTGTTCTCAGTTATTGGTCTTGTTCTTCTTGTTCTCAGTTCTTCTTGGTCTTGTTCTCAGTTCTGATTAGTTATTGGTCTTGTTCTTAGTTATTGTCCTCAGTTCTTCTTGTTCTTGTTCTCAGTTCTTCCTGATCTTGTTCTTGTTCTCAGTTCTTCTTGTTCTGCTCAGTTATTGTTCTTTTTCTCAGTTCTTCTTGTTCTTGTTCTGCTCAGTTACTGTTCTTGTTCTCAGTTCCGCTCAGTTATTGTTCTTGTTCTCAGTTCTTCTTGTTCCGCTCAGTTATTGTTCTTGTTCTCAGTTCTTCTTGTTCTTGCTCTCAGTTCTGCTCAGTTCTTGTTCTTGTTCTCAGTTATTCTCCTCAGTTCTTCTTGTTCTTGTTCTCAGTAATCTTTTCCTGTGTTTGAAGAAGCATTTTCTGTGTATTCGTTTGTGAATTTATCTGTACATATGCTCTCACATTTTCCAAAAAGACAAATAATTAAACCAATAAAGAATCCCCTAGTAACCGAAACAAGATTCTCTCTCTCTCTGTCTCTCTCTCTCTCTCTCTCTCTCTCTCTCTCTCTCTCTCTCTCTCTCTCTCTCTCTCTCTCTCTCTCTCTCTCTCTCTCTCTCTCTCTCTCTCTCTCTCTCTCTCTCTCCCTTCCTCTCCTCTCCCTCCCTCTCCTCTCTCGCTCTCCCTCCCTCTCCTCTCCCCTCCCTCTCGCTCTCCTCTCTCTCTCCTCTCCCTCCTCTCCTCTCCCTCCTCTCTCACTCTCCCTCCCTCTCGCTCTCCTCCTCTCGCTCTCCCTCCTCTCGCTCACTCACCACTCTCTCTCTCTATCTCAAAATAGATAAGTAGATAAATAAATGAATTGAAATAAACTCCTCAAAGCATAATAAGCAGAACCCAACTCACGCCGTCCCTTCCCCCACTCCCTCCCCCAAAGGCCGACCAGTGGCAGCCGCTTCCCCTCATCATCTTCGGTGCCATGGCCTTCGCGGCTGGCACCCTGTCTCTCCTGCTGCCCGAGACACTCAACCGACGTCTCCCAGAAACCATAGAGGATGGGGAGAACTTTGGAAGGTAAGGCTGCTCGAGCGGCTGTAAGTAGGAAGCTTGGTGTGAGACGGATTCGTATATTGCTGTTTGTTTTATTCGATTTGGAATTATATGTGTGTGTATATTTTAGATTTGTTTTTAAATTTGTTGTTATTATTTTTTTTTTTTTGCTTGGCTTGGAGTATTTTGAGATGAGTGCGATTGATTACTTTTTCTAAACTTTTTTTGTAAAATGTCTTGGTGTAAAATTGCTTTGCTTGGATTTTCAGTTCGCTTCGGTATGGCGGAGGTTCCTGTGTGCTTTTTTCTTTGTTTGGATTTTCTTTTTAGTTTAATGTAGCAGAGATCTTCATTAGCAAGAACGCTAAAAAAAACATCCCTTTAAAATAGGCCATTTAGTTTTGTTAATTTGTGGGTTAGACTATTTCGGGTTATTATTTTTTTCTTCGAGTCTGTAAAACGTAAGAACTAGTTACTATTTATCTAAGAAACTAGTTGTTACTATTTATCAGACGTCGAAGATATAAGGGGATGCTTTTTCGAATTACATGGAGGTAATTATAGCTGATTATTAATAAGAATCGCACCTTCTTTCCAGACAGTTTTTGCATGGCGAGAAACCCTGTTTGCATGTTTGGTTTTGTGTATCTTACAGCTTTCTATTCCCATGCATCAGCGGTAACGGTACTGTTATACCTCTTTCGCAGTTGCCCAAAACTTTATATTTTGATTTAATGACAGTAATAAGATTTACTTCCTTTCAAATTTGCCCGATTAGGATCACACAAGCAATGCCATAACAGTCAGTACCTTTGCCGCTCAAATGCAAAAATAAAAAGAAAGAAAAAAGAAAGAAAGAAAAAAATAAAAATGGTTCTCAATCACTGTTCCTCGAAGCAATATCTGCGGCTGTGCATGGACCTCCCGCAGGCAGAGCACATCACGCGAGGTCACACAAAGCACCAACACACTGCCACCGCCTCACGCACCCCAACACTCGAACGGAGATCATTCCTAAGTAAGTCTGCCTTGACACTCGTTCGTCTTGTCAGCGCAGACGCAGAGGAACTGACGGCGGGAGGAGGAAGAGGGGGATAAAGATAATAATAATGATAACGTCGGTAGACATCACTGGATCAGATTTTCCGATGTGGTGCTTGACTAGATATTGCAACTTACGGGAATGTTTTGTCAAGATTTAACAGACCGACTAAGTTTTTTTTTTCTTTTTTGTTATCAAGACGTAGGTGATGACAACTAGTGACAAGGCGACAGGTTGGTAATGATAATGAACTTGAATACAAATATGTTATTTTGAATATTTAGACAGTCACCACCTACTTCTCAAATATACCTCCACCTTATTAAAAAAAAGAAGAAAAAATTATTCGAAACTTCATTTGACGAGCCCATATTGGATGACGAATCACCCCATGCTTTTAGAGATAAGGTCAAACTAGACCACATTAATGATTAACTACAGACAAAAAAAAAAAAAAAAAAAAAAACTTACAAAAGCCGTAAAAACACACACTCGACGATGCACGTTGCTATGACCACGACTCGCAATTTCCATTCTTTGCAACAAACCTAGTAGGCGGCTCCATAAACCACTTGACAGACAAGAGGACACTGAGGAGAAATTTGCAACACAGACAAAGGTGCTTTATGTGCATGGCAGCATGATGTAGCCTTATTGCAGACGTAGTATTACTGCGGTGAGTCTTACTGTGTTATAACCAATGAAGTATGTAAGTATAAACGATATATATATATATATATATATATATATATATATATATATATATATATATATATATATATATATATATGACACAGGTTCGAATTTGAATATATATATATATATATATATATATATATATATATATATATATATATATATATATATATATACATATATATATATATATTGATAAACGTGTGCATATATTGATGCTAGATATAAGCCGGTTTCACGAGATAACATAATTGCTTTAATTTGAGTCCAAATTAATTTAAAGTCTGGTTGCTTTAGTTGTATTCGAAATTATGTTCAATTTATATTGGACACACAAATATGCACACGTATATGAATGCATGCTATTGCACGTTCTATATATATCCGTGCATTTTTTTTCTTAACCTTAATATTACGAGTTTTGAATGAATATTGAAATCAACAAATTTAATCATTTATCGGATAGGAAGCAACAAAGAGAGAGAGAAAAAAATGAAATCAAAACACCTAAAGTATTTGCTCCATAATCCACACAATAGTATTTTAGCTTTTGAATTGATCTATTATTCTTTAATTGCCAGAGAATGTAATGATTTTTGGCGATCATCTTTTCCCTAAGATCAACTGTAATAGAAGATAATGCCAACACTTTATCATTCGTTAGATTCTAGCAGCAATATCTATCTAATCTATCTAATCAATCATCTATATCTATCTATCTATCTATCTATCTATCTATCTATCTATCTATCTATCTAATCAATCTATCTATCTAATCTATCTATCTATCTATCTATCTATCTATCTATCTATCTATCTATCTAATCTATCTATCTATCTATCTATCTATCTATCTATCTATCTATCTATCTATCTATCTATCTATCTCTATATTTGAGAAAAGTTGATCGCCAACATGAACTCAAACCGACACTGACCCCCCCCCTTCCCTCCCCCCCCCAGGGGCTCGACCGAGAGGGACACGGCGGCGATAAGCGCAGACGCCGACCAGCTGCAGAACCTGACGGAGCAGCTGAGCCCCGTCAGCGAACACTCGCCCACGCTGCTGGCCAAGAACAACCGCACGCCCTTCGCGGACTCCCAGGCGGGCGAGGAGCGGAGTCCGGTCTTAAATGAACAGGAGGACGCGAGATGTTAACGGGGCGGTTGCTTAGGGTGCTTCGCGAGTGTGAGAATGGGGGAGAAAAAAAGGTTTTGACGTCTGCTGTACCGAAGGGATACGCTCCTTTGTTTATCTTTACTTGTTGTATTTTTTTTTTCTCTTTTTTTTTTATATTTTTTTTTTTTTTGGGGGGGGGGGGTATAGAAGCTGTCTTCAATTCATGTTCAAGATTCTCCTCATACATTTCTTCTCCGTGCATTTTCATGGCCATTACTAGTGAGTTTCATTGCATTACCGCATTTTTCTTCTTTCTTTTTCGAAACAGTTCACCTCACAAAGCAAGCATTTCACCACGCATTTCAAACACTTCCTTCCGCGAACCGAGGATATCTGGGACCATTCGCTATCCCGCGGCCAAACAAATAAAAATAAAAAAAAAGAGCCAAAGAAATATATCCTTCAGGTTTTGGAAAATGAGCTTAAAATCCCAAACTTCATTTTCTCCGATTTCTTTTACGACGGCTGTACAAACTCACAAGCAAATCTTTTCATAAACCTCTGCAGCTCATCACCGCCATATGTTCTGGGACTAAATAAATTATCTTTCTTCAAATTTCCTCATTATGGACGAAGTCAGGAGTGAATAAGGGAGGAGGAGAGGACGAAGGGAGAGAGGGAAGGAGGAGGACGAGGGAGGGAGGGGAGGAGGGAGGCAGAGAGGAGGGAGGGAAGTAGTCACGAGTCCTCATACCGGTGACACGAGTCATTGATTACCTATTGCCCGGTGAAAAAAAAAAAAAAAAAAAATCAGTCATTAGAATGTATGTCTCTGTCATGGAAGGTCTTTAGGTCTGTGTAAGGTGTATGGGACCATTTTTTTCTGCCCGGAATTGGACCTTTCTGCACAGGGTTCTCTCTTGGGTATTAAGTTCTGGTGTATTTCTGGTGTTGATGTGGATGTTTTTTTACCTTGTGACACCGATGTGACTTTGTAGGTTGGTTAAGATGAGGGTATTTCCTGTATTTCATTTCTATTTAAATAAATGATTGTAGTGGATGTAAATTATCATTATTATTATTATTTGTATTATTATTATTATTATTTTTACTTGGAACGAGGAAATCGATTTCTTTTTATTATTATTATTTTTGTTTTACTTGGAACGAGTAAATTGATATTTTTTTATGTGACGTGTATAAATGGACGAATTTCTGTTAAGATTTTATGATTATTTAACTGTAATCCAGGGACAAATTGTCTGAGGCTGTGAAAATGTCTTCTCTCTCTCTCTCTCTCTCTCTCTCTCTTTATTTTTTTTTTCTCTCTCTCTCTCTCTCTCTCTTCTCTCTCTCGCCCTTTCTTTGTTTCTCTCCCTCACTCTTTTTTGTCTCTCTGTCTCTCTCTGTCTCTCTCTCTCTCTCTTCTCCTCTCTCTCTCTCTCTCTCTCTCTCTCTCTCTCTCTCTCTCTCTCTCTCTCTCTCTCTCTCTCTCTCTCTCTCTCTCCCTCTCTCTCTCATAAAGCAAGATGCCTTTTGAGACATAGTACTATGTACATCGAATGATTCATTTTCACCTTATTTGGGCTTGCAGCACATGAATAAAACGATTGATTTTTAAAGGAATCTTATACATGCTATCTACTTTATTACCAGTATTTGTACAATTTAGTTAAAGAACACATTAACTCTTTGTTTTGTTTAAATACATTCCTTAGAGAAGAAAGAAAGAGAAGAAGGAAAGAAAAGAAAAGTAGAAAAAATTAGCAAATTATCATGAATTCGAAGGAGGAGAAAGAAAACCAAATAATGGATAAATCAATTAATAAATGGACTAGTGAGTGATGAGAAAATCAATGAATAATAAAAATGAAAAATAGGACAAAAATGATAATTAAGATAAAACTAATGGGAAGAATTCTAACTCATGGATCGGAAATTTCTAGAAAAATATCTTTACACACTTAATGAAAGCGAAGATTTTGCCAACTGCATATCTATTAAGTATTTCAATTAATTAATTAATCTTTAATTAATTATAAAAAAAAAATCCGTCACAGGTGCTAAATAATATTATTTACGTAATGAAGAGGATGAACGTAACTGAAAATAATCTTTATGCATTCATGTGTTAGATATCAAATTAGATTTCAGTGAAAATGACTATTAGTAATAGCAGTAACTTTAATATTTATGATGAAAACTATGATGATGATGGTAATAACACATGATGATGATGATGATGATGATAATGATGAAAACAAAAGCAATCATAATAATAATCTTGATAATACTAATACTAATACGAATAATATATATAATAATGAAAATAATAATGATAACAGAAATAAGAATAGCAATAATAATAATAATAATAATAATGATGATGATAACATTAATAGCAACAACAATAACAATGCTAATAATAACAATGACAATGGTAATGGCAATAATAATAATAATAATAATGGTGATAATAATGGTAATAATAGTAATAATAATAGTAATAGTGATAGTAAATAGTAATAGTAATATAGTAATAACAATAATAACGATAATGACAATAATAACAATAATAACAATAGCAATAATGATAAAAAAATAATGGTTATATTGACATTCTAATGATTACAAAAACAATGATAATAATAAAAATAATGATTATAAGAATAACGATCATGATAATAATAAAATTATGAAAAAAGAAACAGCAACAATAACAATAATAAAAATAACAATAATAATAGCAAGAACAACAACAATGATTACGATATCACTGACAGAGGTGATAATAATAACAACAAAAATGGTAGGAATGAGAATTAAAGATAAAATAATTAATAGATATTAGTATATTGATAATGGTAACGACAGCAGCAATTAGAAGCACTCAGAAACCGCATACCTCCGCCAAGGCAATAGGGTCACTGATGTAATAGAAATGTTTTTTAATTTTAAAAGATAAAAATAAAAATATTAGAACTTAAATTACAGGTGACGCCCGTAAACATAACCTCATTAGCGAAGGCAAGGTAACAGGGGTAACTGATGCAATCATTCGAAAAATTCCTGGATTCGGATCAAGATTCGGATCACCACCAAAATTTAATGGAATGTAAGTTAGGCTTAGGCACACCTCTAGTAAAATTTTCATAAAAATCAGTTTATAACTTTTTAAGTAACTAACACAACCCCCCCCCAAAAAAAAAAAAAAAAAAAAAAAAAAAAAAAAAAAATATATATATATATATATATATATATATATATATATATATATATATATATATATATAATCACGGATTCTAATCTAAGTTAGGTTAAAACATACCTCTGGTCAGAATGTCAAAATAATAATAATTGCTTTTTGAATTATCCTGCTAACCAGCGAATATCGGACAAACGAACAAACAAACTAACCACCGAGATAAAAAAAAAAAAAACATAACCTCCATGAATTTGACTGAAATCTATAACTCAGTGACGTATATTAAGTGAAAGACCTGTATACAGTTGTCGAATTTGGGAAAAGATAAATAACAAAAAAGAAAAGAAAGAAAAAAGAAAAAAAAGAAACACATAAGGAACAGAGAAAAGAAGAAAGAAGAAGAAGAAGAAAAAAAAGCGACGAAATGTTGTTTTCAGAATCTAAG